TGTTGATGATTTCCTTTGCTGTGCAGAAGCTTTTTAGTTTGATGTAGTCCCATTTGTTTATTTTTTCTATTGTTTCTCTTGCCCGGTCAGACATGGTGCTTGAAAATATGTTGCTGAGACCGATGTCGAACATAGGCGTACTGCCTATGTTTTCTTCTGGAAGTTTCATAGTTTCAGGTCTTACACTCAAGTCTTTAATCCATTTGGAGTTAATTTTTGTGTATGGTGTAAGGTAAGGGTCTACTTTCATTTTTGTCCATGTGGCTATCCAGTTTTCCCAACACCATTTGTTGAAGAGACTTTCTTTCTCCATTGTGTGTTCTGGGCTCCTTTGTCAAAGATTAGCTGTCCATAGATGTGTGGGTTTATTTCTGGGCTTTCAATTCTATTCCATTGATCTGTTTGTCTGTTTTTGTGCCAGTACCATGATGTTTTGGTTACTATTTTGAAATGAGAGAGTGTGATACCTCCAGCTTTGTTCTTTTTTCTCAGGATTCCTTTAGCTATTCGGGGGTCTTTTGTTGTTCCATATAAATTTTAGGATTCTTTGTTCTATTTCTGTGAAAAATGTTGTTGGAACTTTGATAGGGATTGCATTGAATCTATAGATGGCTTTAGGAAGTATGGACATCTTAACTATGTTAATTCTTCCAATCCAAGAGCACGGAATATCTTTCCATTTCTTTGTGTCTTCTTCAATTTCTTTCAGCAATGTTTTATAGTTTTCCGTGTACAGCTCTTCAGAGGTGAATTTTTAATTGACAAAAAATGTGTAAGCCTTGGTTGCCAAATGATAAGTTTTGAACTATCATTCTAGATCATATACTTATAGGGAGACCTAATAAAACTGTGATCACAGCTTCACTTGGAGTGTCAGGAAAGTGCCATATTACATCAAAACTGAGGTTGAAGTCTGCAGATAAGTATTCTCAATTAGGCCAAGATTTAGAAAAGTACATTATCCTGCAATCTGTTAATTCTTGACAATGTTTAAAAATTAAAAGTTTTCACACTATTGCTCGTAATAATTTTTTGTTGTAAAAGTGATAACATAAACATTCATGGAGTAATTGTAATGATTTTTAAATAGCCTTACCTACTGAGGCCTAGTGCTAATAAAGATAGGAAGGGTCAATGAGTCTTCTAAGAATGTTGGTCAGTGCACTGGTGAATTAGGACTGGGAGTAGCTCTATTTGTTTTCTCTTTTCCATTTCGTTTGCATAAATCCTGTAGGAGGAGGCTCAGACTGGGGTGAGCATCTCTGGAGACGTTGATAAAACAGAAGAGATAAGCCACAGGAGATGGTTAGGAAGCATTTGCCCAGACATGGTCCTATTATAGATGTGAGAGCAACAGAAGTACTTGAGATTGGCTCTAGTGTGCAGTAATTTGCATTTCCTAAATTGAGAAATGCAGCCTATCCGTTTATATTGAACACAGAATCCTAGACTTGGCAGAAATCATGAGTTGTCTACTTCATATCCTGGGCATTCCTGAGAGATGGTCCTCTAGCCTCTATTCCTAGTGAAGACGGCAGCATCTTCCACTGTTGAGGAGCATTAACTGTTGTAAAGGTCTTTTGCTTTATGAGTTGAATCCTCTCTTCCTATGATTTGCAGCTGTTAGTCCTGCTAATACCTTCATCTTGCAACTAGCTTCAGGCAACAAGCTTGTTTATCATATCTGAACTCTGCCATCATAGCTACACATAGTCGTCTTATCTCTGCCTTCTTCAGTTGATATTCACAGGACCTTGTTGCCAGAATCTTCATTGTTCTGTTTGCACTGCTCTAGGTGGGTCAAGAATTTAGGGAATCCTAGCATGGATGTATGGGATTATAGTGTCCCCTAATCTGCAGCCCGAGGTTGTATGAACTTATTGAGGAGCTATATAGCACATTGCTCATTTGACAGGATAGATTTTTCCTTCTGACTTGAAATAGCTCAATATTGGGTTGTAAATTTAGCACATTTCTCCTAGATGGCTTATACATAAGATATGGCTTGAAATGAGACAGGCTTTCTCTGAGAATGTGGTGAATGATTCACATAGGAGAAATTCCATTTGTGTCTTTAACTTGTAAAAATCACCTCAGTCTGGGCATGAAAGTGTGGTTAGGCAAAATTGGTCTATGTCCATGTGATTATGTCTTATGGAGAAGCAGAATCTACCAGTCTGAGAGAAGGACCTGCCGAATTGTAACATCCTATTCTATGTGGTTCTCTCCAATATGGCCTTTTGGTGTGGAGAAGAGAAAATCCTTTTTCTACCTTCCTTTCCTCTAGATACTTCTACACACAGGTAAGACTTAGTGTTTTTGGGTTGACTCTTGTGATTTTGGGTTGACTCTTGTGAGAGAGCCCTGCATATCGCCACAAGGATCTCTCTGGTGGAGTTTCTGGCTATACATTGAAGTCTCTTCATAGTTAAATAACTAAAGGGGCATACATGAAACTTTGTGCCTTGTTATAAGCCTAACTTCATGCCTTGCAGTCTATTCTCATGCTGTACAGACCCAGTTTTGAGAAGAACACACAGTGTTGTGGTACCACCTACGCCACCATTTATTTAATCTATTTGGATGGCTTGCGCTGCTCTTGGCTGTGGACCTGCAAAAACAAAGCCATGGGATAAAGCAGTCTGAATACTGTAATGAAAACCTTGTACCTTTTTTGAGACCTGGTAGAGAGAAATGATTTATTTTTTCCCTACCAAATAAAACATTCTAGAAATCCAAGGTGAAAATTGGATTTTAACTGCTACTAAAATTTTGAGCATATAAAATCAGTGAGTGTTGAGAGTTTTGCTTAAGAGAAGAACCTAAAGAGTCTGGTACAAAAATGATCTACATATGATGTGCACTGGTGTCTTACATAAATCTGATTGATAAAACTGGAAATAAACATTAAGCACGTTTTGGCAGCAGATTGCAACAGTGGAGCCCTCTGTGTTCTTAACATAATCATTTTGTTTCCAGTCTTATGCCTAGAGCGTTGTTCCTTCTTCCGTGCTTCATATTTCAGATTTAAGCCTTCTGTGATTAAGCTGGAGGAGTCTGGGAACTACCTGAATCCAGGCAGTACGTGCCTTTCTTCTCTCAGGTTCTCATTTGTTCGTGTGTTCACCCTCCCTCCCTGTCTCATCCTCTCTCATCTCCCCATCTCATCATATGCTATTTTTGGAGAGCACACAACATCCTGTCAAAATTATTAAAAGCCTTAAAAACCTAAGGACTTCAAAGCTATGATGTAACTAAACTTCATTAACTGTACTGGACCTTCTCTCGTTTTGTTTTACAATTTGGACATGTAGTTACTTAGAGCCGCATTCAGAATGTTGCATGCCTGGACCCAGCTGGAAAGAAGTACTGTCCCTGGAGGCCTGCCAGGTGACTGGTATCTACTGTCTGCTGCTCTTCTAAGGGTCACCACCTGCCCAGTGGTGTCATTGTATTCCGCCAGCTGGCCTGGGCGTGTCTGCTGATTTCCGTTGGTTTTCACAGAGCCACTGCTCGCCTGGGTGGACTGCAACTAGTTTGTTTGTTCCTTCCTTCCTTCATTCATTCAGCATTCATCCAGCGTTTGCCATGTATACTGTGTAGTGGGATATAAAGAGAAATAAGATACATTTGTATTTAATTAAAATGCATAGCAGAGGCAGTGGCACTGTGTAGAAAGTGCTGTGCAGCAAAGAGGAGGAAAGAACTCACTGAAGCTAAGGAGACATGAGGCTTCGCAGTGACAATTCTTCAGAGCTGGGGCTTACGGGATAAAGAAAGTTAATCTGGGCAAAGGAAAAAGGAGGGTTATTCCAGAGAGAAGAAAGAGCTTTTGGAAAGACATAGTTTGTTCAGAAAATAAGGGGTCCCTTGGCGTATCGGAAAGATGGATGTACCGAGGTGGAGGGGACAGAAAGAAAGTAAAAAATATTGTCTAAGGCAGGAATAGGAAAGACATTAATTATCATGCTGGGGAGTTTGCAGTCTTCAGACAGTGGAGAGTCACTGAAGGTTTTAATCAGAGTAGTAATGTGATCAGATTAGTCTTTGGAAAGATGGCTCTGGAAACCGTTGGGAGGATTTTGTAGAGGTTGAGGTAGAGGAAGGCAGAATGACCTCTTAGATCTGGAGGCTGGGCTTAACCTACAGAGTGGGGATGGAGAGTCAGGTGGCCCTCCCTGCACGACTGGCCTTGGGGTCTGTACACAGAGCAGGATCTGTTTTCCTAGACCTTTCCCAACCCTATTGAGTTGGTCTAACTTCAGGCCCCTGCCTCTCAGCTTCTTCTGACCTCTTGTGATTAATCAGGAGATGAGATGAGTCTTTACGTTTGATTGATTAACTCATGTTGCTCCAACAGCCTCTAAGCTTGGCTCTTCTGTCTGCTGGCCTTGCTTAAACTTGCCAGCGCGCGCCTTCTCAGCTTGGCTGACCTTCCTGGGTCAGACCGCTTGGCTGCCTGGAGCCCTCCTTTCTGCCAGAGCTGATCTGGCTCAGCCGATGATCATTTCTTGTACTGTCCTTTCCTGTCCTGTTCCTGCCCAGGCCTTGGTGTTATAGGGAGACTGAAAGCCACTTGTAGATGGGACCTGTGCCACATTCTCAGGGTTTACACACATGCCACCCTCTTATAATTCTGTTCCCTGATGATCCACGGCAGAGATTCAGAAAGTTTATATTGCTCTTTTAAGTGTTGAAGTTCTTATTAAGAAAAAAAAGCCATTGAAAACTTAAGTTTTATAAAGTGCTTTGAGCAGTGACAGATTTTCATAAGGCTCTAAAATTGCCAAGAAGCTCTTAGAATATGCTTGTTCGTTTTAGTGTCATATTGATTCTGTTCTGATGTTTTGTTTCCAAGTTTTAGAAGTTTTGTTTTTCCTCTCTAATTGTGTCGATAACAAAGGAGCTCGTTAATAATGTGACTGTGAAGCCCAGCAGTGCTCCGGAGCTGGGCATTGTGCGCTCAGTTAACCTTCGTATTTCCTACCTCATCATTGCAGTGTGGCAAAGCGCTCCCTGGCCTTTCAAAGCAGGAGGACTGCTGTGGAACCGTGGGTACCTCCTGGGGCTTTAACAAATGCCTGAAGTGCCCCAAGAAGCCGTGTAAGTGACGTTTCATCATTCCTTTGCAGGTTAATGTAGCGTATCTATTTCCTTGTGATTACTGTTTTAATTGTGAGACATTAGACTTTAAAAGAACTCTTACTGAATTCTAGAACATAGTGCTATAATTTGCTTTTCCAGCAAGCTTGCAAGTCTGAGAAAGCTTTTGTATCAATTCTGGTTTTTGTCTTTTTTCTTTCTTTTTTGGGGAAGATCAGCCCTGAGCTAAGATCCGTTGCCAGTCATCCCTTTTTTGCTGAGGAAGATTGGCCTTGAGCTAACATCCGTGCCCATCTTCCTCTACTTTATATGGGACGCTGCCACATGGCTTGATAAGTGGTGTGTAGGTCTGCACCCAGGATCTGAACCTGCGAACCCTGGGCTGCTAAAGCAGAGTGCGTCAACTTAACTGCTATGCTAGCAGGGCCGGCCCCTCAAATGATAAGCCCAGTTGTCATTTGCCTTCTCCAGTTGGATTACTTACTTAAAAAAAAATCTTTTAAGAGGTGATAAACTAAAATGGGCTCTTTTTTGCTCAGGTAAGGAGAAAATAAGATATCTTTAAAAAATAATAAATGTTTCAAATCCTAAAAAAGTCAGTGCAGTTGTTATTTTTTAGGGTAAATTCCTTAAATGAGAATTTCAGGGTAAATTCCTTAAATGAGAATTTTATTAATAGCCACAACTTTTGTTGTAGTCTCTCTCTCTCTCTCTCTCTCTCTCTCTCTCTCTCTCTCTGGCCCTGTTGTAGTTTTTCTTATACTGGAAGTTTTCAAATTTCACTTTAAAAAAAGCTAAAGTGGAGAAATGATTGATGGCTGATTTGTGAAAGAGAAATTTATACTCACTAGGACACCGTATTTTCCCTTTTCTTCTCAGTCACTACTTTTATATTATAATAGTTCTCAGCGACATGAATCTGTATTGATACTTGCATGCTTTGGTCTATAAAGTCTATTTTTCAGAACCTGTTGATTTGAGTAAATCCAGATTTACATCTTTCTGTTACTTCCTTCTCAATTATAGTTTGTATTTTTAGTTTTTTAATATAGCGTTAACTCTGGATTACTGACCTCTAATAAATATTTTTTTGAAAGGCAGAGGTAACTTGTTTCGAGTTTTTTTTTTTTTTACACTTATTCATCACGTTTCTGCCAAGAAAGCAAGTGATATTTTTCTCTGTCATCTTCCTTTGCCTTCTATAACTGAAGATTTTTATAGTTGTTTTTTATACTTTATTCTGCAAGGAATTTTTCATTTGCTTTGATTGTATAATTTTTATTTACTCTTCTTAAACATATATTGATTTGATTGATACTCTCAACTGCTTTTTAAACCTCTCTGAAAAATCTAGAATCTGTCATCTTGGAATCACCACTCCATATGTCTTTCTTATACTATCTGTTCTTCCATCGTCGTAATAATTGATTATCTCTTATTTGGACTTCCTTTGTCTCTCAAACTTACATGTTCTCTAAATCTTATGCCTGAAGTTTCACTTATTTTCTTGATGTTGCTCCTATCTTTTTTTAGAGAACCAATTTACAGAAACAGCCACAGTTTCTGATAATTAATGAATTCTTCATTTAGGGGGAAAAAGCCACACAAATGAGGACGTTCAGTACTGAGAGAATGTCCCCAGTGGGCTTTCTACACTAAGTAGATAATGATTTGCAATGTGGATTTCCAGCAAATGAGTTGAGTGTGATGGTCCTTCCTCACTGAAAGATCCATTTGCCTAAAATTATTCTGGCAACCTGACCAAAGGGATATCTAGGAGACATTTGGTATGATTTAAAGAGCATGGAGTTTGGCGTTAGGTAGACCTGAGTTTGACTCCCAGCTCTGTCATTTGCTGTTGAGTCTTTTGGATCATGAAACAAGAGTCTATATCTAAAATGTTGAAGAAGCGTTGCTTTTCTTTTTTTTTTTAACTGCCTACCCTTGATTTACTATGTAAGTTTTCCGTAGGAATATTGCAGAAGGTGGAGTGTTTCCCACTGCTAGGTCTAAGGACTGAAAAAAGAGAAGCCGGTTCTGACAACTTTATTTTGGGGCTAAGTTGATGTTCTCTAATACTTTTTCCCTCTTATCTCTTATTTTTCTTTTTCATTTCTCCCGTTCTCTGTGTATCTTTTGCCTAGCTTCTTCTTTTGCCTCTCTTTTCCACATTCCAAAGTTGCAAGGCAGAATTTAGGGGTAAAGGGAATCATAGCTGCTTTTGTTTGTTTGTCTTAATCCCTAACTTCTATTCCTGTCCTTTTGTCATTTTTATCTAGAATTGCATCATACGGGTATAAATTCACTGCTTTATATGGTTTTTTTAACTCTATTTTAATGTTGATAATAATTTAAGTAGAATGTGAAAGTACAAAATTGCTATCACTTTTAACTAAATTCTGATGAAAATAAATTCATATGTTGGCTCATTTAATATATAAAATTGAGATCAATTCCACTTGGGAAGGGCAATGTGGATTATTAATGAAGTAAACTGTTAACATTTTGACATGTACTCCATTTGTGCCGTTCTAAGTGACTCAGTCCCAAGAAACACATTCAGGGTCACATTCTTCCTGTGTCATTTGAAAACTTTCCTTTCCTTGGTTGGTACTACTCTCTAAATCATATTCGTTTTGGAAGAGAGCAGACTTTCCTTGGCTTTATATGCTATGGTTTTGTGTTCCATGCCTTTTTTTCCTCACTCAAAGTACTTCAGACTTCAGTTTTCAAATGGCTTTTATTTAATGTTTGAAGTTTTTGTTTAGCCATATACAGAAAGACCTTTCATTGTCGATCAGTTTTTACTGTGAAAACTTAATTTTAAATCTGCAAATGATTTCATTAGTCTGTAATCTACTAAAAATGTACTTAGCATGAACAAGTCACTTGTCCTTTAAAAGTTTTTAGAAGAAAATTAACATTGAATCCTAAACTGAGGAAGACTTTAAGAGATCGTCTGGTCTGGCTCTCTGCCTTGATGTAGATGACTGTTGAAACTTTTTTTTAAAGGAGATATTCTCTCTCTTTTGCCTTTGGACAATTCACAGACAGAGATCCCACAATCCCTGTAGGCAACCTGCTCCAGAGTGTCTTCATTATGTGGGACAAGACTAGACATTCGGCCACTGTGCTGAATGGGGTAACTCCACATGTGCCAGCCTCTCTCTCCTTTTAACTCACTGTTCTGAGGCTCCTCACTTTAACTGTTTTATGGCATTCAGAAGGACCTGAAGAGAGGGGAAATATGGCAAAGAAAGGAAGTGAAGGAGGAGAGGTACATTGCTAGTAAATGTTCACACTGTTCCATTAGTGATGAGAATAAAGAGCCTGTGTTAGGGGCAAAATAATTTTATTTTCCAAAGGAAAATTTCCTTTTTACTTTCAACTTTGCCTTTTTACTCCTTGTTCAGGTTGTTTTAGTGGTCTAACCATCCATCCTATTTTGATCACAGTCCATTTTCTGTGGCTCGTTATCTTATAAATTATTCTTAATAAAAGAATACCTTATTGCAGGAAGTAACAATGACTTCTGTCATTTAGTGAGTGCTTACTTTTGTCAGGCACTGTGGTAGGCATTTTGCATAAATTATCTCTAAACTCCACCACAACCCTGATCTGTTCAGTAGATGTGAATACTCCCATGGTACAGAATTGCAACGTGAAACCCAGGAAGCTTGTCTCCCAAGGGTGCAGAGTTACTGATAAGCAGACCCAAGATGTGAACCTAGATCAGCTTGGTCCTAGAACTTAATGCTGTATCCACTATGCCAAAAAGTCTCTCAGGTCTCACTTTAGAGTGTCAAAATTTCAGTGAATAGGGTTTTGTTTATAAATTGGTGACTGCAACATTTGTATCGTTGATGAGTTTTCTGAGTGATGAACCATACAACTGATCACGTCTCCTAGCTTCCTCGCATTACCACCTATTCTTTTCAGGTTCATAGTGGTAAGAATCAACTCATAACTAGAATACGTGAGCCTATAATTAAGGCAAGCATATAATTTATTGTCTAAACTGGGACACTTTTGAGAGTGAAATGGAGCGCTATTAATGAACAAGCATAACCCAGGACTGTCCCAGGCAGACCAGGAAATATAGTCTCCCTACCTATGATAAGAAAATTCAAATGCCTGTGGCAAATCAGTGGGGAGAAATAGATCCTTTGTAATATAAATAATAAATCACAAATTGGAAGAAAATATAAAATAGTCTTATGATTTTTTTCAGTTGTCAGTAAATCTTGATTATGTTAACTAATGGGGACTATATTGCAAAATATGAAGTATACTGAAAAACAAGGATAATGTGAAAGAAATTTGGATGTACATTGAATTGGTATCTTAGAAATGAGTAAGTAAGACCACTGATGTCTTAAATGGCTTTGGTTATCAGATATAGTAGTTTAGGATTAAGAATTTAAACTAAGCATATAACAAAGAATTATTTCTTCCCTTACAGCTTATCATGGCTATAACCAAATGATGGAATGTCTACAAGGTTATAAGCGGGTTAACAACACCTTTTGTCAAGGTAAGGTTAACTGAATTCCTTGGTATGAACTCAACAGTTGTTTTGGCTTTTCAGAAATCTGAGTTGTTTCGCCAAGGTTTGGTCGTTAGCCCAGCGTGTGAAGGTCACACAGTGAACCACCTCCTGCTCACTCCATTTAGCTATAAGGAAATATAGAGGTTTAGTGTATGGTTGCTAGAATTGCTTCACTACCGTTTAAACATGATGGAACTTTTTTTCCTTCTATTAATTTGTGATGAAATCCACAGGAGATTTGTTTACATTGTGGAGCATTCTGTGGTTCCATGCTCATCACCTGTTGTACATGCATGGGCACCTGTGTGTGCACACATGAGCACTCACATGTACCTAGCAGTACTACTTCTTTGCTGACACGTGATTTGGCGGCTTTTTTCCTCTCATCAGAATATTGCTGGCCGTCTTGAAATATTCAGGTATTAAATAGCAGAGTGAACACACGTTTCCTAAGCAATGGGTAAAACTGTAGCTAAATGTGAAATGCCCTGAGTGCTTTGGCTCAGTCTCTTTTGAATCATACAGTGGAGTGGTACAAGCAGGGAGAGCCTCAGATCATTTAACCCAGTGTCTACACTTTACAAATGAAAACATTCAAGCCCAGACAGGTTAAGTGACTTTTCTGTGGCTAAATAGAGCTGAGGTTGTAACTCAGGTTTGTTTACCAATGCCTAGTTTGGTACTCATATGTGATACCAAATTTTGTTTGTTACTTTGTGCGATGTTCAATTAATGCTCCTAATTTCTCCTTACATGTGTAGGAGGGAGGTGTTATTAGTAACTTGAAAATATGGGTACAGTGAAATAAAGAAAAAGCCTCCAAGAGTCTTATTAAACCAAAATCCATGACTGAAGCCAGCATGTGGTCTGGGGCTCTGTGTCCTTGACCAGTGTGTGTTTGTAGGGCAGAGTAGATTAAGATAGTGTTACAAAAAAAAAGATTAATCCCTGTTAAAATGGTTCATGTCAAGGGAATATCTTAATTACCTGAGAATTTTCTCAAGTAAATTGTCTGTTCCCTACTGCATCTGTTGAACTTTTATCGTTTGTAGAGCTTTTGCTGACTTAAAGAATTTTCTTTGGAAATGCACTTAAGTATATCATGCCTTTAACAAGTTTTGCCTTAAACTGTTATAAGCCCTCATCATATGTGGAAGAATGCTGGGTAAGTTAGAGTTAATGCTCAAGGAGAGGGCACCCAAGACACTTTTTGAGAAACATCTGCAAACCTTAGTAACGTGGGAATAATGGATTAATCAACATTATTTAAGAATCAGTAGAATTTAAGATATCATTAAGAGATTGTATTAAACGGATGGAGGAATGACTGGGTAAATGAATGAGTAGATGGCTAAATGTATATTCTACAGTGTAAACCGAGTTATTTTTTCACAGATTTGGCTAAAAAGCTATATGAAAAGCCCTACTCCATTTTTAGGATGCGTTAGTTAGAAGCAGAATGAGCAGGGCATTGGAAGTAACAACCTTGTCCTCTGTCAATCAGACTGAATGTGGGGTTTGGGTGTTTGGCGTTCGTTGTCTTTTGGCTAATAAAGTCAACCAAGCTTGTGAAGGGCCTGGGAACACGAGATTGTTTACCCTGGACAAGTGCAGACTGAAGAGAAATATAATTGCTGCATTATAAACATGTCTTTAAATGTTTGTAAATATGCCTTTAATGTTTAATTAGCTGCCCTACAAAACAAGACATAATTTTATGAGTTGCTTCAAAAGCCAAAGACAATAGGATGGAGTTACAAGGAGGCATATTGACAACAACTACAAGCAAACCTTTTCTGTGGAATAGAGTACCCCAACTCTGTGTGAAACACCTTTGGAAGTACTAAGCTTCCTGCACATAGATGTGATCCAACAGATACGTAATAACTGTTGACCAGGGATGCTACAGGGAATTTCTGTCCTGTGTTGTACTTAAGGTTAGATGACTCTGTAGGTACATTCCAGTTCTCTGATGCTATCATTACTCTCTTGCCTGGGATAGAGGCTGTGTGTGAGAAGAAAGAAATGACATCTTGGGCTGTCACACAAGTTTTACCCCCTAGACACATAGTTTCCTGAAGTGTCCCCTGTGATTAGGCATGTCTGCTTGCTCCATTAGACTGCACACAGAAGAGGATCCTTTTTTATCCTTCACTGTTCTAATCCTGCATGGCTAATTGTTAGATACTCTCTAGAATGTCAGATGCTAGTCATTTCTCTGAATGTCAAATGATAAAGAATATATATGTTTTCTTTGGGTGAGGTGGGATTTGGACATTATTAATCCCGATTAGAAACTGAGACACAGAGAAAGTAACTTCCCCAAGATCACATAGATATTAAGAGGCCCAGTCAGGATTTGACTCCCAAACCATCTCTGTTTCTATGTGGTGCATGGCCTCCTTTACCATTTTATATATATCTGTAAAATATTACTAATGTAGATGCTAGGTAATTAGAACAGAAGATATGCCACCTGTTGTGAGAGCTAATAGAAATCAAAGCAATTAGGGCCGGCCCCGTGGCTTAGCGGTTAAGTGTGCGTGCTCCGCTGCTGGCAGCCTGGGTTCGGATCCCGGGCGCGCACCGACGGATGCACCGCTTCTCCGGCCATGCTGAGGCCACGTCCCACGTACAGCAACTAGAAGGATGTGCAGCTATGGCATACAACTATCTACTGGGGCTTTGGGGGAAAAAAATAAATAAACAAAATTATAAAAAAAAAAAGAAATCAAAGCAATTAATATTAATTTGGTTTTGTTTAATAAGAAAGGATGGTTATCTAATATATTCCTTTTGCTAGCTGGTTCAAGGATCTCTAACAGTTCATATTCATAAAAATACCACTATAGAAGTGGAAGTAATCACTTGCTATCTCTTTTATAAAAATAGAATGGAGACTCCTTGAAATAATTGAGTTTTGTTTTATTTTCCTCTCCTGGTATGGCTGGCATGCAGTGACGTTTAGCAAGTTTTGTTCATACTGAGCACATCAAATGGTTCCATCTTGGTCAATTGCACTGATGGTCAGTAACACCAAATCCTTGCTTATGTTTGTCTCAGGAGGATATTTGCAAAACAATGTTACACTTTTTTGGCGTGGATTCTGGAGTGAAGTATCACAGAAAATTCTGTTTCGTGGTGCCTCAAGAAAGCACCACTAAATTACATGACAGAGAAGATTGACTCATAAAATAATATGATTTCATTAAGCATAAGCTATTGAAATTGCTTTTGAGAAAAGGACTTAATTTCACTCCCTTTGTGATATTGTGGGTTAGTAAAATTAAATAGCACTTTCTCACATTACATATCTACACTCAATTTTCTTAGAGCCTTGAAACTTTTTGATTCTGTTATCCTGAAGTTTTTCAAAAGGAACGCATTAAGCATCTAATTACTTGTGTGTTCCACATTGTTCTTACAGTTTAATGTCTTCTCAGTTTACAAAGCACATTTAAAATTAAAGTGATTAATAACTAGAATTACATTATTTCCTTCACCTAAGTGAACTAATGTCCTGAAACAACTTTTACTAATGTGCTCTCAGTAACAAAGAACCAACTGTGCACAAGTTAATTTGAGGAGCTTTGAAATAATTGCCCTCAAAGTTGTTTTTTTTCTCCTCTCTAGCAGTGCTGCAATTATCTTTTCAAAGGAATGATTTATTGCATATACACACATGGAGCTCTAAAACCTGCCTCACTACCCTCAACATTATGGAATTGTTATAATATGCTTCATTTATCATAACAAACAATACACTTATTTCCTGGTGGATCTAGAGCAGCATTCGTCATTTGTCATTTGATTATTATGCTAGAGGTTTGATGTAGAATGAGAATTAAATGAAATAATACCTCATGAAAAGGGTGTTAATAGGAACTCCTCCTTTGCTACTTCTCTACTCTACAGCTCAGTGCTTCCCTGCATTCTGAGTACTCTCACTTGCCATAACTTTGCCACGAGATAAATGAGCTCGTAAATTAGGTGTTAATCTAAGTTTCAAAAATAGAATTTGTTTCTGAAAGTACTTGGGGACCAATCTATTTAGTGAAATCTTTTGTTAAAAGCAAATATCTCTTTTGATATACTAAAATCACCCCATTCATGAGTTTATAGTATAAAATCAACTTAGTATTATTTTCCAAATTTTTAGCCTGTGTCCAGGTGCTGTGGGCAGTGCCAAAATATATAACTAGAAGATATCTACACTTTTATAGTCTACGATATGCACATTCCTTTTTCATAGATAATCTTGAAAACTTTTAAAAACGTTCAATATTCCACAAACATTAATTGGCAGGGCCCTGCTGAGCTACAGACTGAAGATATGTGATGAATAATGAATAAGACATTGTTCCTGCCCTTGGATTTAGTGTATTTAAATCAGTTTGATTCAGCAGGATGCAATTTGCTTTATTCAGTCTCCCAACTGGCTGAATTTTAGCTGACTCCAGATGAGCCTGTTAAAGCAAATATGAAAGAGCTGTCCACATCACTTTCTTTTGGCGCCATTTTTTTACACCGGTTTTCTGCTTTAATAAATTTACAAAACAAATACATTAGAGCCCCCTAATACTCATTACCAAAACTTTCACTGTAGAGCTCCTTTTAGATAGAAAGCTCCCCAAAGTGCATCTGAAACTGAATTTTATTTGGACCATAGAAAAGATAATGTGCATTTTTTTTTCAAGAGCGTATCTCTAGGCCGGCCCTGTGGCTTAGCGGTTGAGTGCGCGTGCTCTGCTGCTGGCGGCCTGGGTTCGGATCCCGGGCGTGCACCGATGCACTGCTTCTCTGGCCATGCTGAGGCCACGTCCCACATACAGCAACTAGAAGGGTATGCAACTGTGACATACAACTATCTACTGGGGCTTTGGGGGAAAAAATAAATAAATAAAATTATTAAAAAAAATAAAAATAAAAGAGCGTATCTCTGTCATGAATTGGGACTCACCAGTCCTGATTAATATTCCACGTAA